TGGTGAATTGCGTGGTTTTAAAATTTGATTTTTGAATAATTGACTGATAGACGATGAGTCGATCAATCTCCCATTCGAGGACATGGTGGATGAAAAATCTACCAATCCCAAAATATTTAATTAATTTAATTACGAAAATTGTTTAAATTATGTTTAAATATATTTATTTATACACGAGATAGACATTAGTTATTTTATTCGAGAAATTAAATATATTTACAATTTTAATTAACCTATTAGACTAACTAATTTATACATATATTTTTTTTGAATCATCTTTGTAATTAACGATATATGTACAAATTGATGTTTACCTAAAAAAATAGTTTCGTGTGTTTTATATTTCTATTGTTTTTGTATTTTTGTACATTAAAGAATATTAAAAGCTTATTTTTTGTGTTTTTTATATTTGTTAATTAAAACTTGACTATAAAACTAATATATTTTTATTATTATTATTATTAAAAAAAGAAATATCGAATTATAACATTTTAGACAAACTAAAAGATATTCATTAATTACATAGAAGTGCAAGAGTAATCAAAACTTAAGAAGGTGTAGAAAACAAATGATACTAAGTAATGATATACCATGAAAACTTTGAAATCACGTGTACAGTATCCAAACATTATTACATGTGCAAGTGGATGTATTTTGAATTTTCCACAATTTTATTCTCCAATCCATAAGTGACATGTGGCAGAACTTAAAAAAACAAAAGAACAATATACAATTTCCAACGACAGTACCGTTAGCTTTAGAAATACAATTTTCTTTAATACTTGTTTCATTCTTCTTCACATTGATAAATTAAAACCCACAAATTCACTTACACATCAGAATAATCACCATGAACAATTTAACAGGAGTGCAAAATAAAGAAAAGAATTTTTTTTTACTAACTTGTTGGATCCGACGAAAGGCTTGCCGGTGTTTGGTGTTGAGGACGCGGTTGAAGTTTGTCGGTATTTCTGCACGGCGTGGTTGATCGTCGAGGGTGCCGGTGAGTCGACGATTGCGACGAGGCTGAAGCAGTTGATTTCGATTTGACGGATACTTTCGTTCTTCTGCTTTTATTTTCCTGTGACAAAAACCTCAGACTCTTTCAATGTTAAGCCAATTCTATTTCAAATTTATGTTGTTATTGATATCTAAAGATTGTGTGTTGTGAGACATTAAGCTTATGACTTTGTTACAGGTTGTGTTTGAAAATAATACATGGAGGATTAATTCGAAATATGGTTTTTGTGAGAATAACTGTTGTGCGGAATTGTTTAGAATGATTTGGAATAGTTAGAAAGAAAACAATAAATATATAATTGGTAAAAAGGAATAAGAAAAATAGTAAAAGTTAGTAGTATAAATTATTAGAATTTATGTATAAGTATATGTGAACGTGGTTTGTTTTGTTAAGAAAAATTAAGCAGGTATACTTATATTTTGGTTTACTAAAAAAAGTTCGTTACAGGAAGACGAAGAATGAAATAAGGGTTTGTAATATAATATTATAGTAAGAACAATCAGAATAAAATATAATGATAAGAAAAAATAAATTGAAAATAAAAAGGAGGCTTCATATTTAATCATTGGTCATAATAACAAAATTACACCAAAAGTGTTGAAAAGAAATTTTAAAAGAAAGTGTGTGGAATTGTGAGAAAGTGTGGATGTGTGGAAATTGTGAATCTTTTTGGATGACTTAGAAGTGAAAATCATGTCCTATTTATAGATAAAAAAAATCATCCAAATTGGAAATAAAATAAACTTGACCAATAAAAAATAAGGTGTGACATAAATTGACATCCAATGGCCAATAAGAAATACCTATTTAAAAAGGAAAGAAAATTAGTGACAAAAAAAAGAAGAAAAAAAAGAAAATGTTGAAAGTGTGGCACAAGATATTTGAACTCGTGACCTTATGCTTGCAAACTTCATCCTTTACCAATTGTTCTATGTTGCTCATTTGTAAATAAAATCAATTTGAAAGAATATGAAATGTGTGGTGATATTTGCTATTTTTAAAAATACAAATAATTTGGAATAAATTATTATATTTTTAAATAGGTTGGGAAGCAAATATTTATTAAAATCAAAGAATATTATAAAAATAATGTTTAAAATATTTTTAATTTGACTTGAGAAAGAACATCTATAAAAATCAAATAATATTATAAAAATAATGTTTAAAATATTTTTGACTATAGAAATAAAAGGGCGAACAAATTTGGGGTATGACAATGCCAGTCCCTCACATTGTTAGTTGCCTCCCTTTCTTCGTATTGGATGTACGCATGTTCCTTGAGTAAGAGAGCATCCAGGGTGGCTGGTGATTCTATGCCAACCGTCTTGGCGAAGTCAATGCGAGAACGAAGTCCGTGTTCAAGGAGATATTTTTTCATGTCGATCGTAGAGACATGCACAACCTCTTTGTTGAAGCGCTCGATATACGCTCAAAGAGACACGTCCTTTCCTTGGATGATTGTCTCTAAAGATGCTACTGACTTGGGATGTCGGTGAGATACCGTGAAGTTCCTTGAGAACATCTTTCCCAACTGCTTCCAAGAAGTGATGGATTCATCAGGAAGACTTTTGTACCAAGATATTGCACCTTTCCTCAGGGTAGTTGGGAATATCATGCACTTGATGGCGCCTCTAATGCCTCAGTAGTCGAGTAGGGCATTGATATTTTCTATGTGCTCATCAGGATCAGTAGTACCGTCGTGTGTTCCCAACTGGGGAAGTTTCTCCAAGCTGGCTGAGAGCATGGTTTACGTGATCTCTCTTGATAACGGGCCTTGTGGCTCGTCATCATCGCTTCCTTCGGGAGATGGCGACGGGGAATGATGGTCCCTTCCTCGTCGCGAGCTGTTGTCTCGGCGGGGAGATGTATCTCTTCGTTGTTGTCTTGGCTTGGACGATGGTGATCAGTCACGGTTAAGTCGGCGGTCACTCTTTGTCTTCTTGAAAGACGAAGAGCCTTGATCCCTTCGGGGAGGTGTACAATCACGTTCCTTGAGGAAAGAAACATCTTGTTGCTCCCTTCTGGTTGGACGACCACGCCTTGATGGAGAAAGGCTTGGAGAGTTGCATTGCCGGTGTCTCTAAGGAGGAGATTTAGATTGCTTATTCTCCCAGGTTCAATCCTCTTGCTCTGTTGTAGGATTAGGATGTTGGTTTGGTTGAGGGTAGCGAGCAGTGCTGCCATGGCCAGATTGACATTCTGAGGAATAGGAACTGGTTGCAGGATCTCTGGCAGCTCCTTTGATAGGTTATTGGGCCTCTACTCGTCCATAAATTGGAGTTTTTTGCGTCGGGCCTCAATTGAATCTGGGGACGCAATTTGTCCATCTCTGACGTTGATGTCATTCTTGAGGTGAGGATGCTCTTGACTTTCATCGGTTTTGTGGACGGGAGAGAGTACAGTCTTTTCAGAGAGGTGATGGTCGTCATGGTCGGTCATGATTGAAGTAGTGAAGGTATCTTTGATCTTCGGTTTTGAGGGGAAAAGGAAGAAGGGGAAGATAGATTCTCACAGGCGGCGTCACTGATCGTACCTGTGATCAGAACTTGAAAGTGAACCGAAGGATGACGTCTGATTTGCTGGAAAGTTGAGGAGAAAAGGGGTTGTATCTGCAAGGCACTTCGACGATCAAGTAAGAATGTGTGCAAAAAGATACAAGTAAGATATTAGGGTTTAATTTAAATATTGGATATCCGACCCTCACAAATGTGAAGGTTTATATAATGCCCTTGGCGCGTAGCCATTGGTTCATATTTTTGGGCCTAGATATTAAGTTCCGCAAAAAATAGGTAATTTCCAGGACCTAGTCAAAACGGGAAATCGTGCTCGTAACTAGCCGTTGACGGGCAATGGTGAGATGACGGGAAAACGCGTTGTGAGTGATGGTCTGACTGTCTGCTCGACGTGTAGCGAGCAAATGTAAAGATGGTCGTCGAGGAGGATGAGAACGTGATTTGGGCGGCGTTGGTCTTGACATTCTAGGAGGTAGTCGACCAGACGTGCCCGTCCGACGACCATAGTTAGTGGACCAATGCTTGTTGGGTCATTCTGGAGGCAGGAGCGAATTGAGCAATTCTAGTCATTGGGGCAGTCCAGAACAATATTTTTACAACTAAGGTATTTTCGAAAATGCATTTTCAAAAATATCTAACTATTATATTTCAACGTTTAAATTATAATTACACACACAAAAAATTTCGTTCGAATATATATATATATATATATATATATATATATATATATATATATATATATATATATATATATATATATATATATATATATATATATATATATATATATATATATATATATATATATATATATATATATATATATATATATATATATAATTTAAGAATTCGTTCGAATATTCATATTTGAATAATATTTTAGATTTTTCATAACTGTTTTCCCCTATAAAAATGCACAAAGAAATTCTCTTCAAAAATTTGGAACTAGTCGCAATGAGTATGCTCCATTGCATTTTTTTTTATAGATGTGACAATTAAAAAAACTAAAAAGAAGTATTATTTAACTTTCATGAATATATGCCCCAAATCTTATTACTTTTTTACATTGAATTTGAACCATGCAATTGGGGGACCTTGTACCCATTACTTCTCACATTACGGAAGCAACACAATTTTGGTCGGCAGCAAACTTCATCACTCCTCCCCTCGTACGGAACAGAATCAAAATAAAAGACAAGTCCACATGTGAACATTATTAGGTACAATTATACAAATAGAACAACCTCACAAATTCTTAATAGAACAACCTCACAAATTCTTAGTATTATGTTTAAATAGAAACATATATTACACAATACAATACAAATTTTCTTTGAACCACTCTTCCATCACAATTTTACATTCTTAATTATCCACCAAAACCTATCATATTTTCTTTTTTTGTTTTGATGAACAGACTTTTCTTATCTTACAAAAAAAGGAAGTTGACTTAATGTTCATCACTTTTAAAAGGCAAAGTTCATCATGTCCAAGCTCAAGTTTTCCATCATAACATTCTCTATGAATCCACACTTTGAAGGACTCCTCTTAAAGCTATGGTTTCTAGGCTTGAAAGTGGCAGAGCATGAAGAAATAGGAATGATTGGAATATTCTCACAGTTGCAAAGCTCAATCATGTATCCATCAGGGTCATGGAAGAACACTTGATCCACCTTGATTCCTTTATCCTCTACCAATGCTGTAACATATCTCATCCCCTTTTCTTCTAATCTCTTCTTAACAAGTTCAACATCCGTACACTGCACAAAACCATATTGCAAAAAAATATTTGGTTAGCATCACAATCTTCAATCAAAATCCATGATATTTTTCCATATGCACCGATCACAACTGCATGTTTAAAAGAACTAATCTCGTTTTACTTATGTCTTCTAATAGATATTTATTCATATACTCTGATTAGCGATCAAACTCATAACTACATGTTTAAAAACCTAATCTCATTTTTATCCACGTCTCTTAACAAATATTTTTCCATACACAATGATAAGTGTTCGAACTCATCCTTACGTGTTTAGAAGACTTAATCTTGTTTTTACATATGTCTCCTATCAAATATTTTTTATAGACGCTAATTAATGTTTAAACTCATGACGGTATATTTAAAAACATAATCTCATTTTTACCTACGTCTCCTACAAAATATTTTGGCATACACACTAATAACTAATTAAACTCATGATTACATATTTAAAAAACCTAATCTCGTTTTCACCTGGAATGATATATGGTTATCCTTGGGATTAATAGGCCTCGATTCATTGACATATGTTTCAAATTCATCAATGTCTGGATTCTGAATCAAATGTATTCCAATACCATAATTATAAAACCTACAAAAAAAATAAATTAAAAGCATATGTAACTACACTAATATTTTATGTATCAAGAAAATTAATATATATATATATATAAAGTGATGGTAAAAAATAGCAAACCATGCTCCAGTAAATTTGAAAGAAGATGGTCTTTTGATGGGGACAAAGCCCAAAACATCTTCATAAAATTTCATAGACTCCCACACTGATCTACACATGAGGGACACATGATTCAATGAGAGCAATGGAAGTGCTTGTGTTTCACAAACTTCTTCAATCTCCATTTTCAACACTTCTTGATGAATCATGCACTTGCAATGTTCAGCTTATTATAGCTTTTTACTTTGCAGTGAATCTCCATTAACAAAGATGATTCTTATATAAAGATTGAAATTTGGTTACTATCTAGGAACTTTCCTTGAAGTATGGTGCACTTTGCAAAATGATGGTTACGGAAAGCACAAGTAGATTAATCACAATATACTGAGAAATTTCTAAGATGCTTCCCAACTCAAATTTGGCATTATTGTCTTTTGTGGATGGATTCCCATAAGCTCGCTACTTAACAAAGTGCACTGAGTAAATTTCACAATCTAGTTTTATTTCCACATATTTATTCAATAAATAATAAGTATAATACTATTTTAAGTTAATAGTGAAGTTTCCTCAAAATAAGAAAACATTAAATTAATTGAAAGGAAATCGATTTTTGAATAATAATAATAATAAGATGAGTAAAAAATTTGGATTTAAATAATAATAATAATAATAATAATAATAATAATAATAATAATAATAATAATAATAATAATAATAATAATAATAATAATAATAATAATAATAATAATAATAGTAGTAGTAGTAGTAGTAATAATAATAATAGTAATAATATTAATAATAATAATAATAATAATAATAATAATAATAATAATAATAATAATAATAATAATAATAATAATAATAATAATAATAATATAAATTTTATTTATAAAAATGGTATCTTTTTTAAAACTCATAATATAATACAGAAGTTAAATTTGTAAGAATATTTTGTAAAATTTAAATTTGAGTCTCACATAATCTATTTTATAATTTACAAATCAAGTGTGCTTATTTCCTATTATGTTGGAGGTGTGGAAACTAAATCTTGGGTATGAAAATACCATTCGTTATATAATACTGGAGAAATCACTTATGAGCCCAAAATACAACATTATGAGCCCAAATTACAACATTGACATGTACAAAACTCTTAAGAAATTGCTTATCCTACCTTTCGTGTGAAAAAACATTTTATGAAAATTAAAAAATATTTATTTAATTTCAAAAATATATTTTTGAAGGCACTTTGAGTTTCACCAAAACATGCTTCAGCTAAGTCTCATCTTAATTTTTTTTCTTTAAAATTTATTTCGGAGATGAATCTTCGAACTCACTCTATCAATGTATTTCTAATTAAACAATCCAATAACAAATTTGAAAGTACATTTTCAGATTTTTGAAGCGGAAATTTGAAAACATGTCACATTTACATGCTAGTCACAATTTCGAAAGTGCATTTTCAGAACTATCAAACAAGATTTTTAATAAAAACATAACCCTGCATGCTCTTCTTCCTCATGATCAAACACCATTTTGTCTTAACTCATAAAAAAATCCTTTCATTCTCAATCAAGATTTGCACTCCAAAACTTCATTCTTGTGTTCATCACATTAAATGAGTAAAAGAAGCTTAAATTTAAGGTAAATATCATTTATTTCATTCCTCGTTGCTCACATTAATCTGGTTTCTGAGTTGAAAAAGTTATGTTGCGTACGAAAATGTATTTTAAGAAGGCGTGTGAGAAATATCCAGATTTGTCTAAATATATTGAAAGTCCAATTCTGGATCTGGTGAAGGAGAAAATTGTTTGTGCTTGAACTGATCAGGTAAGACACCTTGGAAATACAATAACTAATTGAGTTGAGTCTGCCCATGTTACGCTGAAGAACTGATTGGACAATAGTAAGGGTGATTTGTGTTGAGATTGAGACTTTGTGAACCAAATTATCCAACATAATTAGATATATACATCATTTGGTCGCAACATCACAGTGTTGGAACACATATTCAAAAACAATAGTCTTTATTCCCAATTGGCCGATAACATATCTCGAGTAGGATTGAATTTTATTTTTCACGAAGGCAAACAAGATGAGAATATAGGTTCCGATAGCTCAAAGTGTGGTTGCACACTTAGAAAAATGTATGGTCTCTCATGTGCTAGTCTGATTTCAAAGAAGGCGAAACATGATAGCCCGATACAAAAGGATAAGGTTTGTAGTCATTGGAAAAGGCTTAAGTTTGATGATGATGGTGTGATGAAGTTTAGTAAGTCAAATATCTCTATCTTGACTGAGTGGTAAGTAATACAAGAGAGATTTTTGAAATCCGCTGATAATATGAAACTCCAGATTAAAGAGAAATTTAGAAAGATTGTTTATCTAGAAACCATTGATTTGAAACCCATGTCTCAATCGATAAAAACAAAAAGGTACTTCTAAGAAGGTCAAACCAACACCCCAATGGCAATTCAACGATGCGACCTCCTTCGTATTTTGAACATGTTGAAAAACTTTTTTTGGATTCTCCAACTTCAAAATATCAACAAAAAAAAATCAAAGGAGCTCACATTAAAAAATCACCTCCTTTATCTCTTTAACCAAAAATCTAATTCACCGATTAGATGCCAACTTTTATGCACAGATACATTGAATGGATCATCAATGTCGAGGGTGACGGTAATTGTAATTTTTGAGATATTTATGCTTTGCTCAGTTAAAGAGAGGAGGATCATCCATTTAGGCCCCAACAACTTAAGAAAGAGTTGAAGAGCCATAAATAATCACACACGCAACTATACGGGAAACAAATTTTTTTGATGCAATTCATAAATATATTGTTCCTTGCATTAGTGGAGCGTCACATGAGGAAAACTGGATGTGTTTTCCTGAAATGAGTCATGTTATAGCAAGTGCATATTAAAGTGTATGTATTAATCTGACATGATAACGTTTCTCGGAAACATTTTTCCACTTCGCGCTGCCCCACTTCAAAATCCAAATGATCGTATTAAGTGTATTTGATGGATTTCAAAAACGCGACACTTTGTTCATGTTTATTTGAAACTATGATGCATTATACCACTGACATCACTGAACTGCACAACTCAATCAACAATGAAAGTTGAAACTTGGTCGAATCTTTTTTTATAAGATGTAATAATTCACCAAATTGAGCAAGATTGAAAGAGAAACAAATAAACAAAAGATTTAAGGGGAAACCACCCACACATATATATTTAAATGATGACACATGTTTCGATTAATTTTAGTTTTTATTCAACAATGTATTTATATAGTTAACATGTTTTATATGTAATCTTATCTTAATATAAATGATATCAAATATATACATTTTCAAAGATTTCAATATATGTTTAAGTTTCCAAAATATTTTTCCATTTTCCATTCTAAAACAGAATTTGTTTCTGAAATTGATTATGTGTTGGGTCTCGCAAATGAATTTTTGTAAGAGTAGGATAGGGTGGCTGCGAAAATGCATCTCCATAATTTCCCATAATTCATGATTGAATTTCTAAGGTCCATATTAGCCTAGGACTTGTATAAATATGGGTCTCTCATCTCATATTTTTTTACAAAATCAAATTACACCGGAATGAACATCAATTGGTGTTGTACCCTAAAATTTACCCTCTCTTTTTTCAAGGCATTTCTCACAAAGATTTCCAAAGCTCAAGTTTGCACAAGTACAATTGGACTTTTTAATGCCCCATATAGTTTCAATGGATAATATTGGACTTTCAAGCATCAGGTCTAAGAGGAAACTGTCGAAAGGGCAAAGCAGATAAAAGTAAAAGTGTGCAGCTGCAGATAACTATGTCAAATTCAAAATCTAGTTCAGGCTAGTTGAACTACATGACTGATCGAAAAGGGTTGATTGGAAGATTTTTGACAAATCTAAGAAGATCTAGCTTGCTTCGATTTCCCCCGTTTCGACTGGGAAATGGCTTCCTTCATGCTTGCTTCGATCCACAGGGTAATGGCTTCCTTCATGCTTGCTTCGATCCACAAGGCAATGGCTTCCTTCATGCTTGCTTTGATCCATTAGACAATGGTTTCCTTCATGCTTGCTTCGGTCCATAAAGCAATGGCTTTCTTCATGCTTGCTTCGATCCACAAGGCAATGGCTTCCTTCATGCTTGCTTCGATCCACAAGGCAATGGCTTCCTTCATGCTTGCTCCGATCCACAAGGCAATGGCTTCCTTGATGCTTGCTTTGATCCATAAGGCAATGGCTTCCTTTATGCTTGCTTCGATCCACCTCTAAATCCTTCGACACACATAATTTCTACACTATGAATTATAATTTGAGGTTTGTACATTTGAACTTTCGACCACTTAATCAACTGATGGTTATTGGTAGAAAAGCAATCCAGAAATTCTTTCATTTTGACTATGCCAATGAGATCATCTTTCATGCTCAAAGTGGTACATTCAGATGAATGTGGTCCATTTGAAGAACACACAATTGGTAGAAATAAATATTGTCTTGTCTATTTATGAGTTTGGTCGAAGGTTGTAAGTGGTCCATTCGAAGAACACACAATTGGTGGATACAAATAATGTTTTGTCTATTGATAAGTTTGGTCAAAGATTGTAAATGGTCCATTCGAAGAACACACAATTGGGGGAAACAAATATTGTTTTGTCTGTTGATGAGTTTGGTCGAAGGTTGTAAGTGGTCCATTCGAAGAACACACAATTGGTGGAAACAAATATTATTTTGTATGTTGATGAGTTTGGTCAAAGGTTGCGTGGTCCATTCTAAGGACACACATTTGGTGGAAACAAATATTGTTTCATCTGTTGTTGAGTTTGGTTGAAGGTTGTGTGGTCCATTCAAAGGACATACAATTGGCGGAAACAATATTGTTTCGTCTATTGTTGAGTTTGGTCGAAGGTTGTGGATCTATGTGATCAAAACGAAAGGGTGAAGTATTCAAGATGTTTGCTGAATAAAGTCCTATATGCTACCAATCCCAAGCTTGTTATACTGTCCAAATAATAGCCTAAACTGCCACAACACTGCTATGAAACAACCTTACACCAAGCTGCCACAACACTCCAAAACTGCTGCAAAACAGTATTGCTATGCTACTCCTTAACCAGTCCCATATTTGCACCAAACTAGCATATAAGAGCATCACCTCGAAAGCTATGAAAAGAACATACCCAAATTGTTCAA